ATCTTACACATTCTGAAAACAAGATTAGTATTCTTACACAACCAGTTCTTGTTTAGTAAATCAGTCTCAAAACAAGATCAAAAAGACTTTTTGGCTGGATATAAGGTTTTAAAACTTGGTAAGATGGACAGTTTTTGCAGTGTATTAATAGCTTTGTATATGCTACTTTTAGCTTCTAGCTTGCATGTTGCTGTGCGCATGTTTTAGCTAGCATTTTTGCACCTTTGGCAAGGATTTTCCTACTTTTGGTTTTTAGACGTTGTTTTGCTGTTAGCAGGTTTTTTGCCTTTAGCTAGCGATTAGTTGATTTTAAGTTTTGGCTTGAGATTTATTTTTAATTTTTTGTTGTTTTTAGCTAGTGTTCTTCATTGTTTACATTTAAACAGCTCAGTTTCAGCTTCATTGGTAAAGCCTTTCAGTATTTAGCATCCAGACTGTATTTTCACAGAAAACGTTATTCTTCTGTTTTGTTGATATTTTAGACAGCATTCTGCTTCGGCTTCCTTCAGACTCACTTCAGAAACGACCAAGTTATGATGGCTGCTCTGTTTTTCTTCATCGTTAGGTTTAACAATTTATTTCTCTCTCATTTCTGTTCCTTTCTTGCTCCTGTGCAGGGGAAGAAGAACAGTGTTTTCAGAGATTGTTACTTTGGGAGCCAGAGACACTGTAAGCTGACACGACTGTTTCCTGCCTGCGGCTACACCTTCAGGGTGGCTGCACACAACGACATGGGCACCAGGTACTACTCCTTATCGTTGAATATACACACACATATGTTATACTGTATAAACACACACACACACACACACACACAGACACACACACACACACACACACACACACACACACACACACACACACACACACAAGTGAGTGAAACATGCATTCACATTCACATATTCATCAGTACAGTGTCATGAAAAGCAGAGGTTAATGCCATTTTTTACTCTTCATTAGATGCACGCAGTCAATTTACAGCTAATGTTATGCAATGAGGGGTTTCTTTTTTCATTTTTTGCCCCATTTCCTTTCTCTGTTTGCCCTGTTTTTGTCATTATGTTGGAGCGCATCAGGCCTGCAGTGGTTAGGTGATGGAGGGGTGTAGATGCGATGGAAGAGGGTTGAGATATGACAGGACTGAACCTGCTGCTCCAGCTCAGTTCACATTTATTCCTGAACGCTAGGCCTGTGTATTGGCAAGAATTTGGCGATACGATACATATCATGACAGAGGGGTCACAATACGATATATCCCGATATATTGCGATTTTTTTTTGTCCAAAAATTCTATTAAATAAAAACCTCTTACTAAGGAAAAAAATGAAAAACCAAAATTCATTGTCTCAGAAAATTCTAATATTCCATAGACAAACTTTTGATACATTTAGCTGT